AAATGCCATCATTCAAAATGGCCAAAACAGCTAAAACTGACCTGAAAATAGCAAGAGAAGGAAGCATGGCTGACTCAGAAGATGCAATGAAAAAGGAAAGGATTGAAGTAGATGGCATGGGCACAAGTGACAAAACATTAAAGATGGAAATTGGAGTGAAGACAGGAGAAAAAGATACAGAGGGAAAAGAAAGCAAATTCAGACTGCCAAAGTTAAAATTCCCTACATTTACCTGGTCAACTACCAAGGATGAAACAGGGCAAACAGAAGCACAGATAAGTGAAAAGGAAGGAAAAGTGCCAACCCTAGAAAAAGGAGCAGAAGCAGAGATAAGTGGGTCAGTAGGAGAAATTAAGGTTCCAAGTGCTGAAATTGAAATTGGGATGTCCAAAGGAAAACCACATGAAAATGATGTAAGAGAAAAGCAGCAAGTCATACTGCCAAGCCCCAAAAAAATAGCTATAAAACCTTTTTCAACAGAAAAACACTTTGAGGAAACAGACAGAGAAATATTGATTGCAACGACTGATATTGAAATGAGAAATGGTGAATATAGCATAATATCAAAGGAAAAAGCAGACAAATCAAAAATTACTAAAGGTGATATCAAAGCTCCCAAGGTGGACATCAGCCTCCCCTCTCTTGACACCACCCTGCCAAAGGCCAGTGCTGACCTGCAGGCACCTGAGGCAGCCCTGAGCCTGGAAGGGGAAGCAAAAGCTCCAGAGAAAGAGGCTGCCAAGACCAAGGATGGCAAGTTCAAGATGCCCAAGTTTGGCATGCCTTCCTTTGGCTGGTCCAGCAGCAGAGAGGCCAAAGGCACTGTGGCTGCTGAGCAGGACATCAGTGTCAAGGAGCCCCAGGTGACACTGCCCTCGGGATCTGCCGAAGCTGACGTGACCCTGCCTGGGGCTGAGATCCAAGCACCCAGTGTAGAGGTGAGTGTGGAGACAGGAGCTGCAGGAGAGGGTGAGAAAGCTGGGTTCAAGATGCCTGATATCAAGCTGCCAAGTGAGGGTGAGAAAGGTGGATTCAAAATGCCTGACGTCAAGCTGCCCAGTGTCAAGCTGTCCAAAGGTAAAGCTCCTCAGGTGCAGGTCAGCCTGCCAACAGCTGAGATCTCACTGCCCAAAGGCCCTGAAGGAGATGTTGCCCTGCATGGCCCAGAGACCGAAGGTAGCTTGGAGGTGTCTGCTGGCAAAGCTCAGGGTGGTGGGATGAAAATACAGATGCCAAAAGTCAAGGTGCCAAGCGTGGTCTTCTCCAAGCCCACTGTGAAGGCTCCCAAACAGGACACAGAAATTGACACCAGCCTCCCACAGGTTGACCTCAATTCCAGCAGTGCTGACATTACCATCACGGCGCCAGACATCAAGGTGCCCTGTGTCGAAGGCTCACTCAAGGTCCAGGTGCCCGAGGGAGATGTCAAAGCACCCTCCATTGAAGCTTCACTTGATGGAGCAGAGCTGGAAACCACAGGCCTGAAAGAGAAACTGAAGATGCCCAAGTTTGACAAGCCCAAATTTAGAATATCATCCCCCAAGGCAGAAGGGGCTGGAGGAGAAGTCAGTCTGCCAAGCACAGAGATTGACCTCCGGTCTACCAGCATGATGGACACAGGGGAGGGATTCCAAGCTGATATCCACGGCACCAACATGGAAGGGGCAGGCTTGAAGCTGGAGAAACCCTCTCTCGAAATGCCCAAAGCAGACATCAAAGCTCCCAAGGTGGACATCACCCTGCCCTCCATTGACATAACCCTGCCAAAGGGCAGTGCCAACCTGCAGGCACTCGAGACAACCCTCACCTTTGAAGGGGAAGCAAAAGTTCCAGAGAAAGAGACCACCAAGACCAAGGATGGCAAGTTCAAGATGCCCAAGTTTGGCATGCCTTCCTTTGGCTGGTCCAGCAGCAGAGAGGCCAAGGGCACTGTGGCTCCTGAGCTGGACGTCAGTGTCAAGGAGCCCCAGGTGACACTGCCTTTGGGATCAGCCGAAGTTGATGTGACCCTGCCAGAGGCTGAGATCCAAGTGCCTGGTGTGGAGGTGACCATCGAGACAGGAGCTGCAGACGAGTGTGACAAAGGTGGATTCAAGATGCCTGACGTCAAGCTGCCCAGTGTCAAGCTGTCCAAAGTGAAAGCTCCCCAGGGGCAGGCCAGCCTGCCCTCAGCCGAGGTCTCACTGCCCAAAGGCCCAGAGGCAGATGTTGCTCTGCAGGGCCCTGAGGCTGGAAGCAACCTGGAGGTGTCTGCGGGCAAAGAGGAGGGTGGAGGGATGAAGATACACATGCCAAAAGTCAAGGTGCCCAGCGTGGTCTTCTCCAAGCCCACCGTCACTGCTCCCAAACTGGACACAGATGTCAGCCTGCAGAAAGCTGACACCAGCCTCCCAAAGGTTGACCTCAAGGCTGACAGAGGTGACATCAGCATCTCAGCCCCTGAC